GTGTTCCCAAAACTTGTCAATGGGCTACTTTAGCACCAGGCACCTGGGAAGCGCAGATGGAGTGTACCCAACTGCCCCCTCCTCTAGACGCAGACAGTCTGGCGACTGGTCCATTAATAGTTATGTCAATGGCCAACGGTCACCTTCCTTCCTTCTTTGATCCCCTCTCTCTCTGGTGTGTGAGCCACTCCTTGGTGCCTGGCATGGGGTCTATAAATGTGGAGAAGATGGGGAACTTGCTGAGAAGCCCCAGACAGGCGGACAGCACACGGCACCTTAAGAAAGACTCAGCTCCTAGAATCTGGAATCTCTGAGGAGGGATGCCTGGGATGGTGGCCCTGGGGCCATGGAGCATAGTGTGTTTCTGAGGTACTGATCCAAAGTGCATTGCCTTCCCATCATGTCCCCAGAGCGTTCGGATCACCACGGGTACATGTGGAGGGCCTGTGCCTGAGCCTTCCTTGTACGCCTTCAACGAAGCATGAGATTCTCTTTTCCCAGCCACCCCTGTCCCACTAAGTTCCTCCTGGCATAAAATCAGCAGTTAGGAGTAGAGGAGTCTCAGATAGAAGCCTTAAGAAGTTTCTGGAAGAATACCCTCTTCGTCCACTGTTTCCTGAGCTCTCTTAAACCCGGGGCCCTTGGTGACATGACACAAGCAGATTCTAATCCCTCTCCAGCCCCTGCCACTAAGGCCACCTTGGTAGTGTAACCACAAAAATCCTAAAACACAGCTTTCCCGGAAGCGACCCCTGACTCCCACAACTTGTTGTTTGAATACCTGCAGCTTTCTGGCCTCATCTTGCCCATCTGTCAAATGAAGTCAATGAAAACAGTTCTGGGCCCAGGCTCAGCCATCGCTCTCCATGCTTCTCGGGGCCCTGACCCCCACCATGGGCCTTCCTCCTTTCCTTGTAGCAGCACCTCCCCCTGCCTCCTAGATGGTCATGGCCAGGCCTCCACTCCCACAGCCTGACTCCCAGGTGCCCAGCTCTCGACACTGCTGCTCAATGCAGATCCCTCCCTCCTCACTTCCTGTGTCCTCCTGAAACTTCCGGGGCTGACTTTAGAACAGTTCCTTCCTCCCCACAACCTTCCAGAAACCTCTCTATAGTACTCTTTTTGTGAAAGGTTACCTTGGGTGATTTGTGTGTGTGTGTCTGTATGTCTGTGTGCACACACAACCTTCCAAAACCCTCTCTATAGTAGTCTTTTTGTGCAAGGATACCTTGGTCGGTTTCTGTGTGTGTGTGTTGTGTGTGTGTGTGTGTGTGTGTGTGTGTGCGTGCGCATGTGCGTGCATACACTGTTACCCCAGCTACACCATAGACCCTCTGAGGATAAAGACTGCCCAGTTTATCTTGGTACTGTCCCCAGACCTGCCTCTGCCAGATTAGACACTTATTAGGTGCTGACTGTCGGCTTCGAGTCACTTAGCAGTCATCAACTCTGCTGTACCACTCTGGACTCGGATGGTGATGCGATGGGCCCTGCCCAGGTGTCAGTGTGTGTGAGGTGGGTGAGCAAGGCAAGTATGTCAGTAATCTCATTGGATGCAGGACCACTCTTTGTAGAAACATCTGAAGTGCTAGAATGCCTGTCCCTGTGAGAAGAGGGAGGCGGGCTCTGAGTGGTACACTGCAGCGTGGGTGGGGTGTCGATGGTAGCGAGACAGGAGTCCACCCTCAAGGGGCGAGTCCTGACTCCTACACTAGTGACTTGCTCCCTGTCCCCATAGAGGGTGGGGCCTGGAACATGAGACCTAGGAGGTGCTTTCAAGCTCGACACACATTGAATGCTATGACTGTACCATCCAGAAATTCAGTCTTGACAGACTCAGAGGGTTGTCTTTCTCAGCCGTCTTTTTGATTTCTGTGTTACTTGATTCTGTGCTGGCCTGGCATGTTTTGTCTCTGATGCTGGTTCAAGAAGCCCGCCTCCCCTAAAGTGCTTCCTCTTCCTACATTCAGTGTCTACCCAAAATCATGCCAGGTTTCTCGCCTCAGCCATGGAGGAAACACAGCTCTGGACACTGGGTCCTTGTTTGGTGTCCCAGCTCAACCTGTCGTTTCATTCCTTAGGTCACATGCTAATCACTCACTCCCAGGTACTTTTTATTTTTTATTTTTTGAGCCCTCGATAAATGTAGATATCTTTTTTTTTTTTAATTTTTACTTATTTCTTTTGGCCCTGCTATGAGAAATGTGGAATCTCAGTTCCCTGGCCAGGGATCGAACCCAGGTCCCCTGCAATGGAAGCAAGGAGTCAACCACTGGACCACCAGAGAAGCCCCACACCCCCAGGTACTTTTGTATTCTGGTTATCTGGAATTCATCCTGATTGCCTTATCTTTACTTCTGGATAGGTACCTTCCTGCCTTCTGCCTTGTTATCTGAGTCCCAAACTTTTTCTTAGTGTTTCATTTCTCTTCTGTAAGTCTCTGAACCAGACAGAGATGAACAGTGAAGCTAATGAAATTTAAGATTGACCTTCAGAGTCATTGGCATTTCCAGAACTGGAAGGGGCCCTAGCATTATGGTACATGTAAGTGGTCTGGTTTGTAAAATCAACGAAAGGTGGTTTAGCCACAGTTGGTTCAAGACATCTCTGTGTCCATTCTGCTGCCTCCATCCATCACGCTTGCTCTTGTATTGGGTGGCTATACAGTGACCCTGGGCATATTTGGAATCTGGCTAAGGGGAGATTAAATCAGCTTAAAGTAGTTTGGACTTGGAGAAACATATTTTAGGGGCTCCCAACCAATTCTATACACATTCAAGTTATTCTTAGCAGTCCTGTATTGAAATAGCTTCCAGGAATATTCGAACTTACCATAGCTGTGCACAGCATCAGGACAAGAGGTGAGAAGCTGGAGGGAACATTGTGATGTGTTCACCCAGTGAAGAGGGTGACCCTTTGTCACCCAGCAGGTGGACAGAGGTTCAGTCAGATGATGATGTTTGGGGACAGGCAGTGCGTGAGGACATGGGACTCTTGTCTGTGGTTGGGGGAGTGGACATGGGGAGCCTTTGCAGAAGGCCATTTGCTGGCATGTGTCAGCACCTCAGGTGTGTGCCCTGTGCCCTGGGCCTGCTCCTGCATGGTTCTTCAGACAGTGTGTGGTCATGTCGAGTGGCTGTATTGGCAGAATGAGTATTCCCTTTCCTTCCATCAGGGCAAAGGGTAACTTGTGGGACCCCCGACACTAGGAGGTGTAAACAGACACCATGTAAGGGTGAAAACAGACACATGAAGATGTGCAGGTGTGGAGGAGAGTGCCCAAGGTGTTGGGAGTGGGGAGGTCATCCCCCCACTGCCCCCTTTCCCCTGTGGAGAGATGTCTGGACAGGGCTGACCCTCTGTCTCCAATTGCCGACAGTCATTTCAGGGTCCAGGCTGGGTGGGTCAGCTACATACCGTGTTGATTCAGGAGGTCAGCAGCCAAGGTCAAAGTGTCAGCTGACATTGGCTCATTTGTGGGCTGTGGGGAGAGTCTGTCCCATCTCTCCCCCATCACTTCCAGGACATTGCTGGCCATGGTGGGCATGTCTGGGCTTGGAGAGCTCTGCCTTCCTCTTCACCCTGAGTTTTCCCATGTGCCTGTTTAACAGTGTCCTTTGTATGGGGACTGCTGTCCTGTTAGAGGCCTGTCCATCCTAAAGAGCTCACTCGACCCCCATCAGCTCTGTGAAGACCTTTCCTTTGTCTATAAGGTCATGTCGAGGTACTTGGGATTGAGACTCCAGCACCTGACTCTGAGGACACATGATGTGACTCCTCACACCCTACAAAGCTCTGAGGGAGGAACACACTGGAATGTTCCAAAAATGGAAGGATGGCTTCCATGGCTACTGGGGGTGAATCCAAGGTAGGAGCCAGATCATGTGGGGCCTCGTGGGCCTGTGAGAACTGTGGCTGTGCTGTGCTCGGGGAAGGAGAGGCCTGGGTGGCCCTGGGCTGGGTGCCTCTGGGACCTTGTTCCTGTCCTCAAGCCACATGCAAACAGAGGCTCCCTGCCAGGTGCTTAAACCCTTCTGAGATTCAGGCCTGTGGCTCTGCTCCACTGCGTCCACACCCCTCCAGTGAACAGGGAGCCCCCTCCAGGTACAAGGAAAGAAGTGAGGATGGGAGTGTGTGGTCAGGTCCCCTGCAGTCATGGGCTGTCTCTCTATCCCTCGGCACCTCCTTAGGTGTGGAATAAGGTGACAGTAACCTATCAGGTTATTTGAGGTTTAAATTCTGTGATCCCTGCATGAGTCCATCCCAGGCTCTGGTGATGACATGGAGCGCACCCGTCCCAGTAGTTCCTGCTCTCCTTAGTTCTTTCTCTAAGCTCTGGGCAAGGACTGAAGCATCTGCTGACAGTTGAGGCCATGATGTGGGAAGGGCTTTGAGGAAGGTGGCTCCCAAAGTCATGGGTAAGACTCCTGGCAGGGCCGTCTGAGGTCCAGGGCAGCCACAGGACCGAGGCCAGATTGGTAAGCACGGATCTGCCCTCAGCAGCCCTGAACTAAGATGGGGGATCTGCAGAGCATGGGCAGGGATGAGGCCAGGACCTGAGGGGTGGGGTGGGGTTGGGGGTGGGAAACCCAGGACTGTGCCTGTCTGTGCTGGGGGAGGACCAGAGCCCGGCCACTGGGCTGTGAATCCAGGGGAGACACCCTCTGTCCTCAGTGCTCCCAGGGTTTTGAGTCCGTCTGTTTTGGAACTCACCACGTTCCTCTCTCCCCCTGTCCTGCCCTCCTTCCTGACCTCCGCACAGGCTGCATGTGACAGACAGGTCCTCTGAATCAAAACACCCTGTCAGCAGACTTTGTGGAGATGGACAGAAGGAGCCAGCCCTCTGTGACTGCCCCCATTTCTGTGTCAGCAGGCTTGGAGGATGCTCAGGCATGTTGGGCTGAGGTCCGGCTCAGGGCTGTGAACTTGGCTGTGAACTCTGTGTCAGGCTCCTGACCTTTGTGGCTCTGTGTTTCTGCAGACACGTGAGGCCCTGGGAGATGAAATTTGGATGTCTGTCCGTCCGACTGCCTTATGCGTGTTTCGTCTTAAACAGTGTCAAGACGCTGGAGATGTGGTGGCGGCCCATGCTATGCGGACCCGGCATTGTACCCTGGCCGTCCACCTCAGGCACAGGGACTAGGAGGTCACGGCTTGGCGGGAGCTGCTGGAGCAGAGGCTGGGGAGGATACCCACCCAGATCCAGGCCTTGCTGCAGGACGGGGACAAGTTCGGCCACGGAGTGATCATGGGCAAGTAATGCCCTGCCCCACGCTGCTCACCCAGCCCCCGGTGATGCCCTGGATCTCAGCTGGGTTGCACTTTTTGTTTTCTGTTTAACCAGTTGGTGAAGAGGGGTGGGGCTGAAGTTTGTTCAGAGGGGCAGCAAGGGTCCCTGAGCTGGGAGATGGCCACAGGAGGTGCCTGAAGACCACTCTGGGCCTCAGTTCCCTTTTGTGTTCTGAGAGGTAGAGGCTGGTCCAGGTATGCACGCGCCACTTGTCTTTGTGTCTGTATGTGTGTGAGGGTGTGTCCACGTGTGTATGTGTGCCCAGCAGAGACCATGAGAGGCAACACAGCACCCAGCCTGGGTTTTGCATCCCCACTGCCTGCAGCAGGCCCTGAGCAAGTCCCCTGACTCCCCAGGGATGAGGCCCCATAGCAACACCTCTCTTGGTGAGTTGCTTGGGGACCTGATGCCAGCAGGCTCCCTGCTGGGGCCATCCTGCTCTGTCCCTATGGCCTGCAGTGGGCAGACTGAGAGCTGCCCATGGCCTGGTGGGTTCCTATAGCACCAGGCCTCTCCCTTTCATTTCGCTCCCTCCCTCGCTTGGCCTTGCCCAGAATTCTGCCATAAGGGTGGTATCATCTGCATATCTGAGTTTATTAATATTTCTCCTGGCAATCTTGATTATAGCTCATGCTTCATCCAGCCCAGTACACATCATGTACTCTGCATATAAGCTAAATAAGCAGGATGACAATATACAGCCTTGATATAATCCTTTCCTAGTTTTGAACCAGTCTGTTGTTACATGTTGAGGTCTAGCTGTTGCTTCTTGACCTGCATACAAGTTTCTCGGGAGGCAAGGAAGGTGGTCAGGTATTCCCATCTCTTTAAGAATTTTCTGTAGTTTGTTGTGATCCACACAGTCAAAAGCTTTATGACATGGTCAATGAAGCAGAAGCAAATGTTTTTCTACAATTCTCTTGCTTATTCTATGATCCAACATATTGTAGCCATTTGATCTCTGGTTCTTCTGCCTTTTCTGAATCCAGCTTGTACACCTGGAAGTTTTCGGTTCACATACTATTGAAGCTTAGTTTGATGGATTTTGAGCATTTTAAGCATTACCTTTTTAGCATGTGAAATGAGCACAATTGTGCACTAGCTTGAACTTTCCTTGGCATTGCCCTTCTTTGGGATTGGAATGAAAACTGACCTTTCCCAGTCCTGTAGCCACTGCTAAGATTTCCAAATTTGCTGGCATATTGAGTGCAGCACTTTCACAGCAGCATATTTTAAGATTGAAACAACTCAGCTGGAATTCCATCACCTCCACTAGCTTTGTTTGTAGTGATGATCCTAAGGCCCACTTGACTTCGAATTCTGTGATGTCTGGCTGTAGGTGAATGATCACAACATTGCGATTATCTGGGTCCTTAAGACGTTTTGTATAGTTCTTCCATATATTCTTCCTACCTCTTCTTAATCTCTTCTGCTTCTATTAGGCCTTTCCCATTTATGCATTTCATGTTTTAATACAATAGAGCTAATATTTACTGAAAGGTAAGGCTGATCTTATCGCAGGTGATCCTCACATCCTGAACTGAGATACCAAGGAACTCATGAAAGTTCTCTTCCAAATTAAGACAGCAGTTAAAGTTCCACCTATTCATTTTTTGCCTGTAAACTGTTTGTTTGAGCCTGGTAAAAACACTGCTCTCGTTCTTAACAGAAATTTTACAAATCTAAGTGATGAATATGCTCATTACTCTCTGTCATAGGCTGATTTATGTGCACCCTCCAAATTCACATGTTGAGGCCCTAACACCAGCACTTCAAAATGTGCTTCTGTTTGAAGATAGGGACTTTAAAATGGTAATTAAGGATCAGTGAGGTCATATGAGTCAACCCTAATTCATTCTGATTGTGGATCTTATAAGAAGAGGAAGTTTGGAGACATAAAGGGACTCAGGGTTGGGCATGCACAGAGAAGCTGCAATCTGAAGACTCAGGATGGAGACCACCACCTACAAGCCAAGAAGAGAGTCTTCAGGAGAAACTTGACTTGCTGACACCTTAATCTTGGACTTCCAGCCTTCAGAACTGTCAGAAAATGAATTTCTGGGGCTTTCCTGATAGCTGAGTAGTACAGAACCTGCCTGCTAATGCAGAAGACACAGGTTCAATCCCTGATCTGAGAAGATCCCACATGCCATGAATCAACTACCCCATGTACCACAACTTTTGAGCCTGTGCTCTAGAACCCAGGAGCTGAAACTGTTGTAGGCTGTGTGACCTAGAACCTGTGCTCTGCAACAAGAGAAGGCACCACAATTAGAGGCTTGTGCACCACAACTAGAGAGTAACTGCCACTTGCCACAACTAGAGAAAAGGCTGTGCAGCAACAAAGACCCAGTACAGCCAGAAAAAAACGCATAAAATTATTTTAGAAAAAAAAAAGAAAATGAATTTCTGTTGTGCATGCTACCCAGTCTGTGACTCTTTGTTCTGGCAGCCTTAGCAAACTAATACCTGTTTCTTCTTTTGGACCTTTGCCTCTTCCTAGTGATGGAACTCCAGAAAATGGGAAATGGGGATCTGCTTGGTCCAAAACAGTGATCTGGTATTGTAAATGTTTATGCCACTCCCTCCATGCATCTCAACTTCTCCCTCCTATACTCCCACCGTGTCCTTATTGGCTTTGCTTAGCCTGTACTCTTGCAGCACATCTCTGTGATGGGTAGGTGTGTTTGCTTCAGAGTGGAGTGGTTTTAAGAAGTTGTCTTGTGCCTGAGCCACATGTTTCCTTATGGGGCTGCTCTAATACCTGCTGTGAAGTTTTCATGGTCCATGGGGGTGCAGTTGAGAGAGTTGCTTCTCAACGGGCATCCAGACTATGAATGAAACAGAGTTCTGGGGAACAATGCAAGCTGCCTTGGGTGTGCAGTAAAGCTTCTGCTAAGCCTGCTGACCCTAAGCCCTTTCTTGTTACTCTCAGTCTGGTGTTGAGCATGTCAGAGGTTGAGGTCTTCTCACTGACTACTCAGAACAATGCTAAGGGCATTCCACATTGAGTAACATTCAACTTTCTAGGCTCCCTTACCCCCCTGAAAACTCTTTACAGCCAGGCACACAGTTCTGGAATGAGGAGTCCTGGGACAAGGCTGTGGATGAATGCATTAAACAGGCCTCACCTGACCATGCATGTTACCTCTGCAGCTGATTTGCTGACAGGATCACTTATCTTTGCCCCAAGAGGAAAGGTTTTGTCACAGAAGCTATTCCTCTGTCCCGCCTTTTGTGAGTCTTTTTGTATTAGTGCATTAACCCTAAGAAGTATTGCTGGCTTAAAGGATTTACGTGAGTCAGCCAGGGATCTCCCATCATAGTGTTTAATCCTCTTCATTGCCATGTGATCTTCAGATTCCACCTGAAGGCCAGAACCACAGGTTTAAAGGGCCATGGCCATCTCCACGCATCCCTGCTGAATTATTTACCTTCTGCTCATTGACTGGTAAAAAGGAAATAGTAAAGGTGCATGTGAATGTCAATATTTTAGGAATCAGCAAACTAAAATGGACTGGAATGGATGAATTTAACTCAGATTAACATTATATCTACTACTGTGGGCAAGAATCCCTTAGCGGAAGTGGGGTAGCCAGCATAGTCAACAGAAGAGTCCAAAATGCAGCACTTGGATGCAATCTCAAAAATGACAGAATGATCTCTGTTCGTTTCCAAGGCAAACCATTCAATGTCATGGTAATCCAAGTCTATGCCCTGACCAGTAATGCTGAAGAAGCTGAAGTTGAATGTCTCAGTGAAGACCTACAAGACCTTCTAGAACTAGCACCCCAAAAAGGTGTCCTTTTCATTATAGGGGACTGGAATGTGAAAGTAGGAAGTCAAGAAACACCTGGAGTAACAGGCAAATTTGGCCTTGGAGTACAGAGTGCAGCAGGGCAAAGATGAATAGAGTTTTGCCAGGAGAACACACTGGTCATAGCAAACACTCTCTTCTGACAACACAAGAGAAGACTATACACATGGACAGCAGCAAATGGTCAACACCGAAATAGGATTGATTATATTCTTGGCAGCCAAAGATAGAGAAGCTCTACACAGTCAGCAAAACCAAGACCGGGAGCTGACTGTGGCTCAGATTATGAACTCCTTATTGCCAAATTCAGACTTAAATTGAAGAGAGTAGGGAAAACGACTAGACCATTCAGAAATGACCTAATTCAAATTCCTTATGATTATACTGGGAGTGAAAAATAGATTCAATGGATTAGATCTGATAGACAGAGGGCCTGATGAACTATGGATGGAGTTTCATGGCACTGTACAGGAGACAAGGATCAAGACCATCCCCAAGAAAGAAGAAATGCAAAAGAGCAAAATGGCTGCCTGAGAGGCCTTACAAATAGCTGTGAAAAGAAGAAAATAGAAAAGCAAAGGAGAAAAGGCAGATATACCCATTTGAAAGCAGAGTTCCAAAGAATAGCAAGGAGAGATAAGAAAGCCTTCCTCAGAAAAAAGTGCAAAGAAATAGAGGAAAACAAGAGAATGGGAAAGACTACAGATCTCTTCAAGAAAATTAGAGATACCAAGGGAACGTTTTATGCAAAGATGGGCTCAATAGCACAATAAAGGTCAGAAATGGTATGGACTTAACAGAGGAAGAAGACATTAAGAAGAGGTGGCTAGAATACAAAAAAGGACTATACAGAAAAGAACTTCATGACCCAGATAATCATGGTGGTATGATCACTCACCTAGAGCAAGACATCTTGGAATGCAAAGTCAAGGAGGCCTTAGGAAGCATCATTACAAAGCTAATGGAGGTGATGGAATTGCAGTTGAGCTATTTCAAATGCT